GAAATGGTTTTTGAATTCTCATTCGGCTATAAGAGTATTTTTTCGTACACCCTCACATCACTAACGACTGATTTGAAATATAATTTGCTTTTTATATCCTTAATAAAATGATGATTATTATTTTAAATTTAGTTGTTCTGAAAAATAACTTTGTTAACCGATGAAACTTCTACATGACATATTTATTGCATCAATATATTTTCTTAAATTAGATATGAATGAAAAAATATCGGTACGAGAAGCTAAAGAGATATATAAAAAATTTAATTTGAAAGCTAGTCGAATTATATGTCAATTAGTCATTAAACAAAATGATTTATGGCATTTTACAAATATTAAATGTGAAACACAAGTTATACAAGACAGTAACTAATACAAGAAAATTTTTATTATTAAAAAGATAATCTCTTTTTTATGTCTAGAAGATCAGAAAAGCAAAACACAAAAACGATCAGCAAAAACAACGGAGAGTGATGAAGATGAATTATTAGATGAATGTCCAAGCACATCAAAACCAAAATCAAAATCAACTAAACGAAAGAAACGTTCCGCTTAATGAATATATTATTATTATTATTATTATTATTATTCATTCAAAATTTTGTTCGTGTTTTCCTTAAAATAGTATAAATGATTTTTTTAAAACAAATAAGAATGCTGAAGGGCTTCATTCGCTATTTTTTATCATGAAAAATTTTATTTTATCAATATGAATTCTTTTTAACAACTAAGGAAAACTATGAACGATCATTTTATTTTCTCTATTTCTAATGATTTTGTTTCCAATTTGTGATTTCTTTTTTCTTGAATTTAATTCAACAAAATAAAAATATAATTTGAACCGATGATTAATTGATTTCTTTCTGTTATTATTGTAGTATGAAAGGCAACTTTCAATTACTAATTCTCCTATCCATTTGAAAATATAATGTGCTTCAATATTTTTCGAATAAATTTTGATAGGGACTTTTCATCACACTAATCAATAGAAAAAAATCTTCTCGTTTGATCTACGCAAGACCGACATTCCTTGTTTGTTCCGTTTCGTTAACTACTACTGCCTAGATGCTGTTCCCAGTAATCATAGGTCTATAGGCTGAAAATCGAAGGCTTCAGGAAAAGTCTTATAACTCTTGAATGGAACAAGCTAGGCATGTTGATCTTTAGTAGATCGAAAGAGATGAACTTTTTCTATTGAATAATCATATTAAACGTCTTGCTGACTTATCAAAATTTGATATACATCGATGCCTCAAGGTCGTTTCTTTGTAATGGTGCAAATTACAGATCTCTTTGATGTTTCTATCAACAGCTATTCAAAAAGCAGTGAAGCACATTAGATTTGAAATGGATATTAGTCATTGTTGCTAATAGAAAAATTTATTTCAAAGAGTGACACAAAACCACTGAGTCTTGTCAAAAAAAAATTAGTTTTCTTCCTTATCATAAGTGAAAAAACGTCCAAATTTTGCCATTTGATCTTGGGTAACCAGATCAATATTATCGCAAAATTTCTATATCACTAAACTGTACCGATAAGAGAGGTATACAGAATGGCCCATAAAGAATTCAACGATAAGAAATTTGATTCTCTTGATTAAATGTCAATCAAATGAGTTGAGGAATTTGTCACCTGTTACAGGCTGAAGAAATGTCACAGGATGGCCCAAGCGTATTTCAAAGAGATGTATGTGAGTGTACACACGATCCTTACGTATACATATGTTTTTCTTTCTGAATCTGAAACTTAAGAATGTATACACTTTAGTTACAATATGCTCTCATTGTTTACATATAAAGTTCACAATGATACTTTGGAATCATTTTATAAAATTTTTTCACTTTATAACATGTGACAAATCTTTGTTGATGTAAAAATATTACTACATCGGAACACTATTTGTTAGTAGTTCTCTTATGAAAAAAAGCTTTAAACAAGCCTCTGTTATTGACAAAATGTCAACTCATTTGAGCGACATCTAGAAAAGCTATTGAAATTTCTTGTCGCCTAAGTATTAATGGACTAACCTACATAAATTTGCATTCTACAGAAGCCATTTTACCAATGTCCCACAAATGAAAAATAGTTCAAATCTATGTGAAATTCAGAAAAGAAAACAACACAATAAAATAAAATATTAGCAGGGTTATATTGAGCACACGTCCATCAAATGTTTATAATTATTAGATGTATATTATTCACACTTATCTTTAATTACAATTGATAATTTATAAACTTGTAGGTATTTTCCATCAATTATTTTGCATAAGTTTTTATCGCGATTTTCTCGTCTTGAGATTTCATTTTCAATATTTTCCTGCTATTTTATCGTGTTCATGTATTGCTGAAATAGAAAATACTAAAGAAAGAAATTTGGACAGTGCAAGCTTTGCAAATGTGCTCTGCATCGATTTATTCAGAAGTTGCCAAATTAATAAACAAAGATACTCTGGTGAAAATAAAAGAGTTATACTTTTGCTGAAAATTAATTATATATATATTTACGTCTTGTTAATATAGGGTTAGATCAGTGTTGTCAACTCTTAAAGTTCGCAAAGCAAAAATTCACCAACAAAAAAGAAGAAAATAGCAGAAGTCTTTTTCTTAAAAAGCAGAAAGCATATTTCATATACTAAATAATTTTTCAAGCGTTTATTGAATGAAATAATGAGAAATTTGACAAAAATTTTAATCTTTATTGTACGAAATCCAGAAAAAAGTTATTTAAACACACACAATGTCATCAACAAAAGTTCACAAGAATTTTTATTCACATGATTCAAAAACTTGATATGGCATAATAAAGAAATGCTGTTGAAAAATATTATAGATAAAATATCTGAAAAAGCAGAATTTTTCTGATTAAAGCAGAAGAGTTGTTAACACTGGGTTAGATATAAAGGATAACAAACATTTACTTGCAAGAAATTAGATATCATAATTAAAATATTTTTTGGTTTATAATAAGAGAGAAAAAAACAATTTTTCTAAAAAAAAAAGATTCCCAACCTTTTGGACCACTCTAAATGTGTAACATTTAGACTGCCTTTTAGTTCTTTAATGCGAACTGGCAAGTACTAGGTTACTTTACTGTATTACACTTCAATATCTACTTGTTACTGCTATTTGCTTTTGTAGTCATTTTTCTGAAGACTGCTATCATAGAAAAGTGTATCATGATAAATAAAAAAAAAAAAGAAGATGAATGAATACTTAAGATCTTTGCCAGAACTAAGAAGAATAAAAAGTTTTTAATTTTGTCTCTAGAATCTTAGTTAATGAATAGTGCTATCCTATAGACGAGTATTTTACTCCAAATTTAGAAATAGAAGCGTGCTAGTTTGAGAAAGAAACAAAATTTTCATAGATTAATGAGATTTTTAACTAAAGAGATTGTTATGATCTGGATCTTATTCAGATACAGTCATAAGAATTTTTCCCTGTCTTCTGTACGATTATACCTATGAATTTATGTTCGACTTCTTTTCTCTTATGGTTTAGTCATGTACTATAGGCTTTTCGTTTCCGTTCACCTATGTCGGAATTTTCCCTTGTGTTCTATTCTTCTTTGTTTCGTGTTGTTCTATGAATGTTTCCTTTCTTTTTTCATCGTTTATGGGATTTTCCATTAGGAATTTTCCAACGCTTGTTATCACTATATATATAACGTTACGTTGTTGTGTAGAATTGAGAGAGAGAGATGATGATGATAAAAGAGAATTAGATTTAGATACAGTTATACAAAAAAAAAGATAAGTGGAATTAAGATCTCACAGAGATTTATATGAATTCTGTTATAGAAATGTATTCTATTGTACTCATGTATTTTATAGAAATCACATAATATTGTGAAAAAAAAGTCGTTAAGATTGTTCTTTCTGTAAGAGTATCCTTTCTGTTTTTTTTTCGACTATTTGTGGTTCTTGATAAGGATGCAATAAATCGGATTCAAATTTTTACTACCCGTAGAACCCTTAAAATAAATAGATATTATATGCGCGAGGGAGAAAAAAATTCAAAGAAGATTTTACGGGGATCTTTATATTTCCACAGAACCACATTCTCCTGCAGTAAGACTCCATCGAATTGTGTCCAATCTAGTTGACATTGTTTGGGACATAATTGAAAGTGTATCTCATAGTTAGATTTATCTATTACGGAAATCTGGCTTTTTGTTTTTTTTTTATGACAAAAAGACGGGAAAATATCAGAGATTTGGCTATTAGAGTTCTATAATCCAAAGGCGAAGGTCAAAAATCAAACCGAACGATTCTATCTTCGAAAAATACTTCAAAATATCTATGCTAAAAATTTCAGCTTGATCGGCAATACTCTCTTCGAGAACTAGACGTCATCACAAAAGATGATGAGAGGTACTCTTCATGTTTCCCAATGTTTATCCGATTTCCGACGAGCTTAATAGGATCTTCGTTAAATTTGCTCACAAAAAAAGTTTTTTATTTGAATGTATACTGAACACGAAATAAATAAATGAAAATAATATCTAGATTTATTTCATTAACTTATTAATTCGTGGATACTCACGAATTTCAATACATATTACTTCCTATTGCGAAATTGAATGTTTTACTTGCAATTTCACAGCTTTTCTTTTTATCACATGTTTGAAAAATATTTCTTAATATTTCGTTAACTTGATACGTTAAATGATAAGCTTTGAAAAAATAGAATAAAAACTGATAAAAATGTTCTCTTATCTATTTTTAATTCAACATTCATTTTGTCAACATGTTACTGTAAAATTATTAGGTCGTATTTTTTTCTTCAATGTAATCTGCCGTCATCTATAGAAATCTGTTTTTTTCTTTTTTTTCTGTCAATATTTTTTTTGCCTGACTCACAGAGAATTGTGAAAAATATTACTTGCCCACAGTGGGCCTGAAATGCAATTATAAAAAAATGATATTCCTGTGCATTAATTCACTTCTTTTTCAGTAAAACTGTGCATACAACACTATTTTTATTGTAACAATTATTAATGGACAACTCGACGAGCCCTCCAGACGATATTTCTCTAGACGATTTATTCCCAGACGGAGATTATTCAAGTGTTTTGAATGATTTGCCATTTAGTAATAGTAAGTTGAATCATATACAGTGTATTCTTTTATATCTAGTGATCCTTTTAGCTCTAGAATTCAATGATAACAATCGATATGATCTTTTACAACTGTTAGCATCTGCTAATAGCGATGATACGAATTCGGAAACTGCAGATGGCAATGATTCATCAGAACTCGTTCATTTTTTATTAGGTTTGTTGCTTAAATCTTTTTCGAATCAATAACAATTTTTATTTCTATTACAGATGAACAACGAGATGCGGTAGCAATTGTTGATGATAAAGAAAGAATGCCAAATTCAACTTTTGATCAAAATTCCAGTATTACTAATATGCCGATGCCTCAAGAGATAACTGGAGATCAAAATTCCAGTATTACTAATATGCCGATGCCCCAAGAGACAACTGGAGATCAAAATGTAATAATGTATCAAATGTATCCATCTATATTTGAAATGCTTGATGCTGCCATCTCTGTTAAGCAACAACCTAAGGCAAATAATCGTATACGTTATGGTTGTGATGGTGTCCGATTTTTGCCTGACTCACGATATCATCCACTGACAGTTACTGTGTGTTATTTTTTTTTCTTCTTCTTTTCATAAAAAATAATGTCATATTGTATTTTTTAGTTCTGTAATTTGCAACGCATTGCATTAGCTAAAAATCAAACATTGGGAATCGTCACGACGATAGTAACAAGTACAAACAATCCCACTAGTCAAACATTTGTTCATGCTAATAATATTACTGTTCGTGAACCAAATGCAATACAAATAGCATATGGATGTGTTTTCGCTCCGTTAAAGCAATCTGAGATAGACGAAGGTATAAAAGAGTAAGTAAAATTTTTAAAAAAATTAAACAATTTTCTATAACATTTTTTAACTCGTAGATATCGACGTCTGTCAATTTTATATAAAAAATATAATGACTATTCGTTTGATCTTACACCATTCAGTACAGAAGCAATGTTTGGAACAACTCAGCAATGTTTGTATTTATAGTTTTAGTTTTTTGTTTTTTTGTCATGTATATCTGCTTTTTTTTGTTTTTTTTATAGATACAGTCCTGAATGATCCGAACATGGACATAGTGCCGAAAGGAAAATGTTTTAAACAGCATTACGATCTATTATCATATAAGTTAGTTTTTCAACTAGCTTTAAAAGAAAATAATATAATATACATTTCAAATATTACATGTGAAACTGAGGTTGTTCATGAACGTAAGTTTTTTTAATATTAAAATACGAAATATAATATAACGAGTATATTTGAATTTTAGAATCAGTTACACAAAAACCTGGTAAACGAACAGTATCATTTTCAATTGAAAGTCTTTCAGAAGAAGAGTCTAATTTCGAAACACAAGTTTCGAATTCATCAAAGAAATTCAAATCATCAACCCCACCGTTGATTGGACTTCCGGTAAATATAAATTTTTGATTGAAATAAAAGATTTATTTGAAATAGTACATAGTATAACAAATATATTTATTTCAGGTGACACATGTTTCAAACCAGTGTATTAATTACAACATGGATCATCTACAATGATCCTTGTTGAATGGCCTCATCCGATGCTCATGTATTGCTTGCCTTTCATGACTTTTGCAACAACAGTTAAATAATCAAGAGACTGCTTTTTTTTTGTTTTCTTTTTTCATAAAATGTAATGATTTAATCATGAGAATTACCGAAATATTTTTCTTTTTGAATTTATAAATGTCTCAAATATTATTCATCATAACGAATAAACTCTTTCATTAAAATTATTCTAGTATTTTGTTTTTCTTATTCATGCATTGGTTATAAATGGTTATTATATAAGTTTCTTTTTCGTTCATTCTCTATATGTTTGTTTCGACAGTACGTTTTTCCGTTCAAATCAATCCAAATCTTTTTTCCTTTTGCAAATCATATCTGTCGTTGTTTTTGTTTTGTTGTGATGTCAAACGAGTTGGTAAAATAATGCATGACACAATCATGCAAATAGCAAAGCAAATATGACAGAATGACGAAAGAAAAATATATCGTCAAAGTTGGAAAATTCCAAGCGTATAGTGATGTCAGATTACTTTCAGCCGTAGACGAAAATATAATTATAACATAAATAGATATGATTCTCCTTTAAGTAGTCTTACGAAACAGCTCTGATCAATCATCCTCACAACTTTTTTATTTAAAATAAGCTTAATAAATCTTTTTTTTTTGCGTTTTTTTAATACAACGTAGGTTATTTGTGTCCTTCTTACGTCATCTTATCAATAAACAACTAATATAAATGCATATATTAATCATCCTTTGCTTTTTTTTTCAAGGCGCAGTAACATAAAATCTACTTTGATTGGAAACATCAATTAATAATATGATCCTGATATATTCACATTAAATTAGTAAAACAAACTAAACAATAGAATGATAATTTAATTAGAATTTATTGTTTTATTTTGTAGGCATGAACTTCAATTCATATTCAACTGAAGATTCTGACTTGGCTCTGCTTGATGGTATATGATAGATAATTCATATTTAATAATTATTTCTTTATTTTTTGTTGTTTTTTCTTCAGACTTAATTGAATCTCCATCAACTAACGAAGACTTCAGTATTTCAATTAATAGAATGCAAAGTTTTTTTTTTCTTGAATATGCTTCGTTTTATTCAGGTTTTCGTGTTGCTTATGATTACAATCCATTGGAAACATTTTATGAAGCTAACTCTGCTGGTATTAATTGATTTTTATAAATCAACAAGAAAAAGATATTTTATTTGTTCTTTAATTTAGAGTCAAGTATGCAACATCGTTTTCTACTTCATTGATGAATATTATTAGTTCAAATTTGTTCATTCCATAGGCTTTATCAATCAATTATATAAAAATTTAAAAGAAGTGACCGAAAACACCTATTCAACGGAATCCAATGATTTAATATATAGTATGTTTTCTTATTTTGCATTCAATTTTCAATGACGAAAAAAAACTTTATCTATAGCTACAAGAAATGATGAACAAATAACGATAAATAGTCCTCATAATGAATCATTACCTGTCATTCGATCACATACAGAAAAGCGTATAATACAAAACAAAATATATATTTTCTTTTTCGAAATATTTATTTTTGGTCGAATTCTTTAGCATCGGAATCATCCGTTACTCTTTCGAATTGTGTCGCTATTACTAATTCAAAATCAAAAAAAATACAACTTGTTTATCCGTTAGAAAATACGTATCGAGCACGATATAAAAGTGATTATTTTCCACAAAATGGTACTGTTCGACGACCACGTTATATTGCTGATAATGCATCGAATCATTTTATAACATTACAGGTAATAAATCACCTAAAGAAATATTATATTCACATTATCTTTAGTTGCCAACCGACTATCAATATGATGTAGAAAATGATTATATTCGTGTTGCATTAATAACAACATGTATTGAAGGTCATGGACATTACTATAGTCCATATAAATTTCAAAAAGATCATTATGATATTAAAATACCTGATGAAAATCCAATTTATATAAAAATAGAAAATAGCCGAGACACTAATTCTGTTATTCGGTAAAAAAAATATTTAAAAAAGAAAACAAGAGAATATTTATGATAATGTTGTTAATTTGAAATATATATATATAGACTTCAACTTGTTCTCATTAAATCTAAATTAGATCAACTTAATTATGTTCAACCATTAATACGTTTTTCTGATACGACTGCTCGTATACAGAGTAAAATTTAAGAACAGAAATTTTTTTTGATTTGTTAATTTTTTCAAGTTTAGACATAATTCATGAAGAAAAATTAACACCAAAAGATTTAATTAATAAATATCAATTGGAAAAATCACATTTAGCGTTTACATTATGTACAAAACTACCAGATGGTTTATATAAACCACATCCAAAAACAACAGTTATTTCATCGGTTATTTCTGAAGCATCAGCATCAAAAAAACCAAATGGTAAATTATTATTTGTATATATATATATGTTGCTTTAGATCATAAAGCTGAATAATATTTTTTTGTAGAACCAACTGCAAGTCCATTGGGTAGACGAAGATTTTTCTTATTGTATTTTTTATTAGAAACGTCTTTTTTTTATTTTGAGCTAATACGACTCAGCATGTCAATTGTCCATGCTGTTCATACTCATTCGATCCCGATACTGCTTTGGAACTAGAGGAAAGACATCAACGCAAATCAAACCCTAAAACGGTACGTTCTTATTCGAATGTATAGTTAAGAATTTGTTTATTCTAAAAAAAACTTCTATTATAATATTTACAGACAAAAACAGAAAAACATACCAATAAAAAGAAGAAAAATGCATAACAATCAATAAAATTTATTTTATATCGGCTTTTTTTTTTCATTTGGAATATGTTACAAACATGCATCGTTGATAGGCATGTATTTTGGCATCACCAATGTTTCTTGTAATCATTATGGTCACCATTAGATAGAGGTTTCTTGTTTGTAATGAATCATGATTGAGCACAAACAAAAAGAAAACCAACGATAAAATAAAGATGAATATATCAGTGATTTGCTTCTATTTCTTTTGACTTGAGGTGTTATTTATTTTATTTCTACTCAATTCGAAAAAGGAAGAGTGTGGAATTTAAAGAGTGTTTGAGTAATCTGATTGTTTTTTTTCTTAAGTATGTTCCAGAACACATCAAAGCTTTTATAGAAGACACTTTCTATTGTACGAATAAGTATAGAGCGAAATAGTCGATCCTTCCTTCTCCTGCATGAATTCAATTGATTACGATTTTGTTAGATACAGTAAATATGTACGGATGGACAATAGTCTTCATCCTGCTAAATCTTAACCACCATATGTGCTCAATAAGAATTATTGTGCATAGCATCTGTCTGTTCAAGTAAGGTTTTGAATCTGACAAAGGATCATCGATTAAACTTTTTTTACTTTCTGATCAAATACATAATTAATTCTTGTTATTTTTACATGCGAATAAAATCATTCAATAGTAATATGGCTTCGTTCAATTAATACATGTGTATCTCCAAGTAACGAATGTTATTAGAGTTGATTTTTATGTGTTATATATATGTTAAATTACTCTGAATAGATTTTGGTGTGAAAGAAATTTCGAATTAAGACAGTAATTTTAGAAAAATAAAACAGTGTATTCTGTAGATAACTTCCGAGGCTATAAAATTTGTATTCGAAGCTTTCTTCTGAACATGTCTTGATTTTTCAAAAGAAAAAAGTGCTCTTATAATAAAATGACAAGTTCGAGAACGTCTCAACTCGTCACGTGACGAGTTGAACAAACAGCAAAAATCAGACCTTTCGTAACATCAAAAATAGGGATATCCAAAAATACAGGGATGTCGTAACGAAATTTACAGGACGATCGTAACGATTAATACAGGGAGTTCGTAACAGTTGCAGAGCTTTCGAAATGGAGCAACAGGGATTTCGTAATGAGGATGAGGGTGATAGCTGAACTGAGTTTACAGAAATTACATGCTTTTCGTTACAAAAGCTCTGTAATGGTACATATTAAAACACCAATTGCGATCACCCTGTGAATTTTGTTACGAAACCCCTGATTTTTTGTTACGAAAGCCCTGATTCTGTCGTTACGAAAGCTCTGTCACGGGCTTTCGTACTGTCAATTCGTTACGAAAACCAGACAAGAAAAAACGTGACGAGTTGACACATTCCCACAAGTTCAAAGCCAATTTCAGACAGTACAAATCTGCTTTGACAATGTCTATATCAGAGTAGAACAAAAAACTTTTATTTCTGAACTAGAGTTTATTATGAAGATTTCGGATTTTTTTATCATATGGTTCGACGAATACTCGCTAATTGCTTTTTAATTAATAGTCAGCTGAAAGTGCCAATACATTTACGTATGTTTATGCAAAAAGAACATATTCTGAAAAATAACCTCTGTAAAGAATCAAAGTCAAATAGCAGGTGAGTATCTCGTTTTGTCTGTAATGGTTATATATTTGGCCCTCAGTTTAAGATCTTTCTTTACTCAAAATATGTGCTAATGTGATCGAATAATGGTCTTTCTAGATGTCTTTCATAACTCTTGATTATTAACGTGATGGTCATAGCTCTATTATTGGCGCCTATTACGAGACTCGTTTTTGAAACTTATAGACAGTAGTGTGTTCAAGTACAGAAGACATTTTTCTAAGATTTTGAACTTCGTTCACTGAAGCAACACAGAGTTTTGATCTCAATGAGCAATACGAGATTTTTCTTCACAATAGTGGTTACAGAAAAAATTCGCATTGGTAGAAAAAAGTCATGAACTTCTATAAAATTAATTGCGTAAATACATGCTATCAATCTACATTCTTGGCAGAATATGTCTGTCCAGATAAGTTTTTAGAACCTGTCATCCATATGTTGGATAAAATTGAGTAGCAAAAAAATTTTGTCCACCATTGTATATGAAATGTATTTTTTGACCAAAAAATTAATAATAAATATAAATTTTTCGGTTTCATAGAAAATCATTTTTAAATATCTTTCAATTCAAGTTTACAAAAAAATGGCTAGTACAATAAATTTTTCTACACATATTTCTATCCAAGAATGATTGACAGCAAGCACAATTCTTATTTTGATAATTGATCACAGATATTTGTACATAGTGGACGGAACTTCTTATAATCCTGCTGAAGTCAGAAGATGATCGAAATCCGAACAAATTTTCTACTGTCGTTTTCAAACTAGATATCTAACTTATTAGCGACTTTTGATTATTGTTAGTTAAAGTAGAAGACAATCTAAAATCAAGTTAATAACATGTTTAAATGTAGTTATGGAATTCTTTTCACTTCAATTTTTATCTGTTGACACTTCAAATTTTCATTCATATATCGAATCATAAACAAACAAATATGTATTAATTTACTTTAAAGATTAATTCAAGTAGACCGCATTCAACTTATTCTTTCGTATAAACATCAAAGTCTGATTATTTGTCTTTGTTTTTTCCATAAAACACATGTATTGATTCATATGACAACATTTACTTTGTATCTATAGACGCAACAAAAAATAAATATAATCATAACTGCAACATGACAACCTGAAGATTTCATCAAGCGAAGATTCAAAGTTTCATAATGACTCAGAAATTTTTTTTTGTAAAAAACATCTCGACATATATTCACGATACGTTTGGAAGGAATGATAAAAATGCACTCGAACCCCACATGTTGCTTTTTTTTTGTTCTGTTCTGTTCTCTTGATTCTTCCTTTCACTTCCGAGAATGAAGATTTGCTTGGAAAAAACCCTATGTAAAAAGTTTTTTCCCACAATATATATACCCAACAGAATAATTCATATTCGTATTTATTTGAGTCAATCAACGGTAAGAACTGCTTTTTAAAAAAGTAATTCTTCGGAAAAAATTTTTTTCCATAGAACACATTGTAAGCAATGTAATATTATTAATCATTTATTATTGCAACATCACTGACAGCAGTAAAAAAAACATCAAGCAACTATGAATTCACAGAATAGTTTTTCGTCTATGGGTTCCGATCATTTATCTGTAGAAGTTAATAGTGATAATATACATGGAGATCTCAATCTATACAGTCCAATGAGTGATGCATTTTGGGAATCTTTATTTAATTTCAATTCACTTTTGACTGACAATAATATTGCTGGTATTTGTGAATCAGCAGATCTAGCCGGTAGGATAAGAATAAACTGTGATCAAATTTTCATTTTTATATACAGAGTCAATTAATCAACCGGTTGAAGCCAATGAATTTGATAAGTATCTTGGACCAACAATTGTATCAAGTAATAAAGTCGAAAATTAAAACATACAAATTAATTATTTTCCTTTAGATTTAAGTTTTGATAATTATGAAAATTTGCTCGTTACCGATGATTTACAAGATTTTATTTTTGGTAACCGAAATCTTTTTTTTCGTAAATTAATATTATTTAATTATATTTAAATAGAACAAAAGAAAAGTGTGAAGAAAAATAAAAAATCAATTCCCCTTTCATTATCGGTCGATGTAGGCGTACCAAAATTATTATTAAATCTATGTCCAAAAATTGAATTGGTTCATGAATTAGAAGAAACATTTAGACCACGATATAAAAGCGATTATTTTGCTCAAAATGGCACAACAAGAAAACCAAGATATGTGACTGATCGTCGCGGCAATCATTATGTTTCACTCAGAGTAATATCAATCCGTTTTTATCCTTTATTATTACTATTCTTTGTAAACAATCAACATTGTAGGTGCCGCCTGATACTCGTGGTAGGATTCGAGTTGATTGGCTCACAATTCCTACTGAAAATGGTGACCGATATATTATGCCATACAAATTTCAAGGCGATAATGATTCAGTTGAAGTACTTGATCGTAATCCCATTTTTCAGGACATCCAAGCTGATTCTTCAGGAATTATGAAGTAGATATATACATATCTCATTTCGATATATATCATATTATGTGAAAAATAGACTTTATTTAGTATTGATCAAAGCAAAACAAGATGCATTAAAATCACTTCAGCCACTTCAACCATTTCATCCGATTCAAGATGCTTTTGGAAAAATCGATAAACCAATTTCAGAAAAAGATTTGCCATTAACACCAAAACAGTTAATACAGAAATACCAACTAGGTAAATCGCAACTGGCATTTACATTATGTACAATAAGTGCAGATGGTAAATCATATGTAACTGAATGGGACACGACAGTTTATTCGACAATTCTGAAAGGTAACAAAAAGAAATGTTTAAATGTTCATAGAAAAATCATTAATTTAATTAATAGAAGAGACTGTCGATGGTTCAGCAGAAAAAACGGTTGCATGTCCGAAATGTTCATGTCTAATAAATATCAATGATAGTGTTCCGGATCAAGAAACAACAACGAATAAACGAAAAAATTTACAAATGAAAACAGGAAACGCAAAGACAACAAAGGTATGAAGATGAGTTTTTTGAAAGGAGGCGTTTAAACTTTATAAGAATTTCTTCTAATTTTAGAAGCAAAAATGTTTGAGTGACATGATTTATTGCATTGATTAATCATCAAACTGTAACCTACATTTATCTATATGCACTCATTTAATCTCGAATGATATTGTCTTTATATATGACTTGATTTAATATCATTTGACATTTTCTTATCGATGATATACACTTAAAAATATTTCGTGAGAAATAAAAATAAACTATGGAAAAAAATATATATAATATTTAGCATTGATTAATACTATGAGTTTTATAGAAAGTAGTATTTTGTAAAAAGATTTTTTATGATTAAAATCTTTGGTAAAAACATTAATTAAAAAAAAAGAAAAAAGAAAAAAGAAATGGTTTGTTTTTTTGAATACCAAGATCAATCGTCAGATATGACAAGAAAAGATTTGGAGAGTCAGCAATCCAGTAGTTTTTTTTTTCATATGATTTTCTCTTCTGATTTACTATTCAAACGTAATATCGTTCGGAAAAAGTTGTTCTAGTAAACCTAAAATGCATTCAAAGATTCAATCTATTTCTCCTGTTTAAAAATTTGACTAAATTTTATAACATCTGAAATGATAGGAGTCTTGCATCGGACAATGACATCTACTTTCGACTCTGATCTGTTGATTTACCAATTGTGTTAAATAATGTCTTTAAATAATAATAAGAAAACGTTAAACGTATCAATTCTTGTTCACAGGACTATATTTTTATTGAAGAGGACTCGACAAAACAAAGCATAGATATTGTTCAATATCAGATGTTGGATGAAATATTTTGAGAGAGTTCGTGTTTCGTTCTGAGTAGTAGCGTATATGGAAGACGACTAGCAATGGAGAAAAATTTAGTCTAACAAACTAACAACTTTATTCTTCTTATGTTAATTAATAGACAAATATATTTCTTTACCATAATGAAAAACATTAATGAATTTATTGGAGTCGAAGCCGCTATTGAAGAAGAGAATAATTTTTTTTCGTAGTCAGTATTGAGATAAAGAAAACTCACAAATTCGTAGTCAAAGAGCTTGACTACACACAACTGTATTAAAGACGCGTTTTTTCGAATGTAATGAATAAATCATCTGTTATTTGTATTAATTCAATATTATTTTTTTCTTTCTATTGTGGTCAAAATCTTCTTTGGTTTTAGGCATTGAAGATCTTCATAGAGAATGTAGTTTTTGATTTTTTCTCACTATTTCACTATGCAGCACATAACGATGGAAATTATATGGTCTTATTTTTGAATATCTATTTTGAGTATGGTGATTTATCGAAAAAATTTATTTCTAACAATATTATTATCGTTTAAGAGTATCATTTCCTTGCATCAATGCGTTAAAAGAAAAAAGTCAGTTTTAATCTTATAGAATAAAATAATATGAAGCGAGAAATTGTTCCATAACATAATTGTTGATTCAGCTTTAAAAAAATACGCCGTCAGATTGCCAGTTTCTCTTTATATTTTCACGGTGATTAAATTTTCTAGTTATCAAAAATAACTGTATTGCTCGTGCATGTGATGACAATACAGTTACATTTCCTTATTTCTAAAAGGGATGTTTTATTTTAATAAATCTTCATCATTTTAATGAAAAAAAAAATAAATTTTTATATGAGCTGCTTTGTATTCATGATGAACACATAGCAGTTAGCTTTTTATTTTAAAATTCACAGCCGTATTTCAAAAATAAGTGTAGAATTTTATTTGCAAAGCTATGTTATATGGCTAATTGTTAAACCAAATTATTTTCTACTTCCCCATTACATATTATGGACTGTCTCAAAAATGATTTATCGTAATTGAAACTGAAAGTATGGTTTGATTCATCGATCCTTGATTATAATTTTCTTGACGTAGTATTACCAGCCAAGATGAAAAATCAAATAAAAATGCAAACAACAATTAAAGACATCAATTCAATAAATAAATAGAGCTGTACCACGTATATTGTTTCAAATAATTTTATCACTATTATTATATAGAAAATCAATGTGAGTATCAGCCAGTTACTTTAATAGACGCGAACTGAAAAGCATTAGAGAATGAAATTCCACTTTCAAAGAACAATAAATATAAATTAGTCAATATCGTTCTTCTCCTTCTTCTTTGATAAATTTCTTAGTGGAATGATAGTTTTGACAAAGAAAAGATATTCAAAGCAAAAGTAATAGTGAATCAAAGATCGTTTTTTCAGCAGTTATAAACTTCAGCTTATATCTATATTGAATCGTTGTACTCGATAATTTCCATTGTCGACAACATATAAATTTCCCTGTTGATCGAACGTTAAATCTAAAGAACTGGAGAGTTGATTTGCTTGTTCTTCTTTACCATTTTCATCAACAACAATACTACCCTGTTTAACTTCTTGAGGCCAACGGATTATTCGATGATTATTTGAGTCAGCAATATAGATAGTGCCCAACTGATCAACGGCCACTCCTATAGAAGCCCACAATTGTGTTAGACTATTTCCTGGACCGTTACCACCAGCGACAACAATACCTTCTTTTGCATCTTTCATCCATTTCATCACACGATGATTGTGTTCATCCGACACATATATTGACTGATCATTATAGACAAAAATATGAAAACGGCCATTAAGTTGATTAAGACGATCACCTTCTCCATTACCACCAGCTACTATTATTCTATTAGTGTCTTCAGGTTTCCATCGTCTCACTTCATGCTTTTCGTAGTCTCTCACATAGAGATATCCATTGCTAGACCTCAACAGTCAATGTTTTGGATGATTGTTTTTTCGCATGTACCATGTCGACAAGGCCATCGCACTACTTACCTCTTATCAACATCGCAAATAATGAGACAACCATTCTCTTTGTCACCAATCACATCTGTTGAACTATTCAATTGAGTTATGGAATTTTCTAATCCATTTCCGCCGGCAGCTATTTGACCACTAGTCGAATTACACTTCCATTTCACAATGCGATGATTTGAACAATCAGTCGCAGATACAGTCTGATCATCATCAACACATAAGCCCCAAGAGTTCGACAAATAGTTTCATTCATTGCCTTGATCATAGCCACCAGCAACCGTGATACCATCTTGTGCCCATTTTGCATTGGTATCGATTTTCAGATCATATAAGGACACTACAATATACAACAAATGTTTATGACAATGGTAAATTATACCATGACTTCTTTATTAATATCAATATCAAAAGATTTTATTATGGGAACTAACGCTTGTAATTAGTCTGTAGCAAATTGGAACGAGTATCAATTTATTGGTTTAAATCTGAGTCTTGAAATGCTCTCATGTTAACATTTTTTGACCGTATTTTGCATTCGACAATATTCATTACAAGATTCTTCTTTTCATCGATTTGCAAGTTTAATATGTTTATTTCTTTCTATTTTTTCCACTTTTAAACTAACCTCACTGCTTTGTCAATTCTCTCAATAGAAGCGTTTTCTTGTTTGTTTAAGCTCTGTAGATCATTTATTCTTCTTCTGTTATATATATGGAACTCGTGTTAAAATTTACCAAACTAAAAGAGTTTTTCTTTTCGTCAAGAAGACATTTTGTTTTCATTTCAACTTCGATGACAAATTTAATTGACCTCGAAATTCTGATATAGATTATTTTTGTAAACTGGATTCATTAAATGTTCGAATTGAATAACTACAATGTAATCAAAATTTATACAGATGGAAGAAGGTTCATGTATATGAATCGTTAGTTGATTGTTTTATTTGCTATTCTAAGCATCTCGTTTCTACATGATTTTCTAATTGATAGAAAAAATTTCAATTGAGGCCTCCCTCCCTCAAAAATCGATCTCAGATCCAGAACATCCAAATTCTATGAAACTTTCAGGATATGTTGGGGCTAGTGAGCCATGACTATGGTAAAATATTCAGTCCCATAGCACGATGTTTAACGAAGATATTCACCAAACAAGGGTCAAACATAGCTCTTTAGTATCTCCTAGTTTTCTTCGTGGATCTTCATTCCAATCATTTATTTTTTTTTGTTTGAAGGAGCATGTCCGATTCTAGCCCCTTTCGTGACCTTTTTTTTAAAATCCTTACTTTTTAAGGGAAGAAAAGGAATGACAAGTTCAATGACTTTAAAAAAAACCCAAAAAATGGCGCTGTTTCTATGAAGATGTTCTGTTATTTAATACTAAAAAGGCTTATTTAAAAAAAAAAAGGACCACGAGGAGAGCTAGCCCTAGATACAAACTTTCAAACAAAAAAAAATATTTGACTTTATCTTTTACTATGATAGAGTTCTGCTAGAGATACGTTATTGAACCCACATTTTGAGAAAAACAAAAAATGATTGTCGGTTTTTTGTAAAAGCGGCTTGTTTTTCGAATAGTGGTTGAGGAAAATTTTGGAAAATTTTTGAAAAAAAAGAGGTGGCGATTAAAAATTTTTATCGAGTATGAAAGAGCAGATGGCGGACTATTTCTCCATGAATTTATCTCAATTTCGATGATTCTGGTGAAAAGTGACTTTTTTGGGGAGGAGGAAGGCTTAACTTAGTGATTTGTATTAGAGAGAAAATATTCTACTTAGAAATATTCAATATAGATTTAATTCTAATATGGTTTTAATTCAAAATAACTACCAGGCTTATAAGATGTAACATCAATTGAAAGCGTAGTAACAAGTTGTGTAGTATCATGTCGAGCATTGATATTTGATGGTTTAGTAAGTTTTTTTTTCAACTGAATTAAATCATCATTCCATCGATGTAAATCTGTTTCAAAAAAATCATTTTCTGCACGACTTTGTGGTATTTTATCAGTTAATTGATTTAACTTATTTTCTATTTGTCTAATGGAGTCAATAATGTGATTAAGTACTAGTTGCCTTGCTTTTTCCACTTTTGTTGAATTTTATTAATTGAATCATATTCCCTTGTATCAATTTGTTGAATTAATGGATGCTGTTGTGGCTTAGATGTTTGCTCCGTAAGTATTTGTCGAAAGAAATCATGATTAATTTCAACTTCATCGAATTGTTTACTTAGCTCTTGCTTGTGATCAGCCAAATGATTAAAACAAAATTCTTGTGTACATCCTCCACATAAAAATGTGACTTTTTCTTTGCCACATGTAATGCGGACAGTCCTACCAGGTGCTTATGCCATATGTTTTAATATTCTTTTATTATTGTGTGTTTATGAAATAAGAGTACATAGCTGAAAAAAAAGAAAAAACAAGATAGCGACTTTTTACCATATTGTGTCCACAAACGTATCAAGAAAATGAGTTGCTGACAATAGACTTAAAAAATAAAATCAAAGAATAGAAGAATACTTGTATTTGTTTTGAAATGGTAATGCAGTCAAATTATTTTTTTTACGATAGCATTTGTGATCAAGTTTAATCTAATTACTTTTCATCATTTGAAAATCTACATTCAGAATGATTCTTAGACATCATTTTAATTGATTTCACTTGTAAACAATAAAAGATCAATGATGATTATAATTAATCTTATGATTCAACTATGCTACTGCTGAAAAAAACAAATTCGTGTTCATCTTCCATTCTGATTTATCAAATATAATAACTTTATCTTTCGTGTGAAAGTTAGCTGATGTCTGTGTGCATGTACTTGACAATATGGATTCAATATTCTTGAGACACAAAAATAATGATTAGATAATTTTCCTATTGCTTCTGTCACATTTAGACTCATATGTGAATAGATTAATGAACATGCATTGAGTAAAATATTTTGTGAACAAAAATCCTTTATTATAATCTCTTCTTCTTTCAACAGCTTCATGTCTTATATTCCAAAATACTATAATTAGTTTTATGAAAACCTTCTTTCATGGATAGGATTTTTTTTGTTTGTATTTTATACGAATCTATGTGATTTCTATAATGTGAAAAAAAAACTATTTGAAAAACAGCTGCTTTGATACTTTCAGACAAGAATGTATCGAAACGAATATTAAATAGTGATATCCTACTAAGAAAATAAAGCATTTAAGTTGATACCTCAATTAATCGAGAAACACATGATGAGTAATCTTATTTCGGTTTCAAATAATTTTTCCATAAAACATGATTGAAAACCTAAGACTGCCGTTTGAATCTGTTGAATTTATTCTACATTAATATCATTTCGAAAGTTTTTTTTGTTTTTTTGAAGAAAAAAGAATAGCGCAAGTTTAGTTTTTTTTTGAAATATAATGTATATTTATGAAAAATCATTCTTGTTCACGAAAACTACTGTCCATGTAGAATTAAAATGTACACTACTGTTTTTTGAATAATATTGCATCAGACGAAATCATTTTAAAATCAGTCATTTCTGCGAAACATTGCAAAGAATGCATGAAAGCGATCTATCATTCCAATGAAATTTTGATTTTGATGTTTGATCTAGAGAGAGGAACTTCGGATTTGTGGTTCAAGATTTAATAGGAATGATTATTTTCTCACATCCTAGTGTTAAGCAAATAAAATCGTCTATTTACTTGAACGAAACTTATAAATTTCTTTTAATTTTAAAGCAAATTTTCTTACTTTTTGTCAAAATTTTATCTGAATAGCAAATCGTTTTTTATACATTTTTTGCAATGTTTTGCAGAAATGACTAATTTTAAAATGTTTTCATCTGATACAATATTGAAGAAGAAGATATCCCTATATCTTTTCTTTCGATGGGTGAAAACTGTACGTCTCTAACTATTTGTGTTCTCGAGTTATTCAAGAAACAGTGGAGCATATTATATTTCTAAATGGACCGCAGTTATTTGAATCTTTGAAATTCTAAATATGTCTAAGCAGTGTTCGAAGACATTCAAGTTTTTTTATCAAGGTCGACATAACGTATCGTGTATCCTAGAAAAATACTGTTTCAAACTTTAAAAAGTTATTTTTGGCTTAAAAAAATATTTAATGTATGAAATAGATGGGTGTGGGTAGGTATGTGATTGAAGAAGAGAGCCACACCCACACCCACCCTTGTTATATTGAAAAAAATTTATTTATATTATCAGCTATATCCTCAATGCATTACTTATTCTGTACATATGATAATATATACCCTATACATGCCATAAGAAGCGGCACATATCATTTTATTCTTCGTTTCGACAGTTCAACTACCATAATAGCCTGCTATAGTTATTGATCTAATCGTTAAGGAAGGTTCTGAACACATCATCCTGTCTCTCGGCAAGCTCTATATACGTAAATCATATCTATTCGTTTTTATAACATGCACTCTGATTGCCCCAATGAACGAAGTTCGAAATACATAGTAATACATTCTAGTCTTATTATCTGTTTTTGTATATTGTATTTTGAACCTATTTAAATTTATAGAAAAAATCCTTGGTGTCTGGATACTCATTAACTAAAAAGAAAACTTTATATTTCTGTTATGGTTCTATTGGATGAACTGGTTTGTTTAATGATGGTAGAGGACAGTTCAAAGCTTTTATTCAATAATATAGATTTCTTAAATATTCTTACAAGTAAGACTTTCAGTTTCACTGCATAATAAGTCTTTTTACAAGGTACAAGAAAATGTGTAGGACTGTTTCTTAAATTTTTTCATTTTGATTGGTTCTCGTGAACTTTCTGTCATCCAGACCTATTTCTCTTGCTTTATAAACGCTTTTTTTGGACGTTTTTAACCAATTAAGAACATCACTCTCAAGTTTGGTGTCTATAAAAACGCTTAAATCGCGTTGGTTTAATCAGTTTGCGTTTCATCAGAGTCTTTCATAAGGAAGAAATAAATGGTTGTTGAAGAAATGTGACAATCACCTTGGATTTTCTTGATGTGTTAAAAAATGTTTATAAACGAAGAGGAATAGGCCAAGATGATAGGAACTCCACTATAATAAAACAAAATGGAACAAATTCAACACAATCCTATATATTGTTGTATCACATCTTGAAAAAGACTTTAGTTGTCCATTGAACATGTAATTATTACTATGTGAGAATAGTGAAGAAATCTGTATTGTTGAATAAAATTTTGAACTGTTCTCTACCATCATTAAACAAACCAGTTCATACAATAGAAATTTAATGGAAATATAAAGTTTTCTGTTCGATCAATGAATTTCCAAGCATGCTGTACTTTATTCAGGGATGCTGTGATGAGCATAAGAAGGCACAACCCCCTTTTTCACCACTATTCTAAAACATTGTATATGTACTCACTATTTCAGAACTCAAACAATTTCTGTATATCCCTTCACTTTGGACTCGTCCTCGCATTCCTACTTCATTTGAACTTATGAAATAAAAGAATTAGTAATTTTTAGATGAGATCGAAAAACTTCATAAGAAGACGTCTTTTTTCATAAAGAACCATAAGCAAGATGGAAGCGAGCTAAAAAGCTGGTCAGACCGTATTCAGACAGTTTTTTCGCTAACTTGCGGATCTCTGGTCTTGAGTAGCTCCTTCCTATTCTGTATGATAAAGTAATGCATTTCTTTTCTTTGATTAAAAAACCTATAGGTGAAAAACTGAAATCATTTAATTATTTTTTGGTGTTTGCTAATGATGAATTATAGAATGTGAATCATTTTATAATATATGTTTACCGTCTTTTAGTTAAGGATTTTTTCAAACAAAAAACCAAATTCTCCATAGCTTGATGTGTTGAATTGTGAGCTGTGTCTTCTTTTTCTCACTGTGATATCGAGACAAAATTCGAAACAGCGATTTCAATAAACATAATCAGAAAATATTCTTTTTGTTTTTTCGCTGACCTAAAATGTTGTATTATTCTATAAACGGTACTATAATAAAAGAGTCCGAGAAATCATAACAAAAGAATGAATATACATGGATGATGATTGGTAAGAAAACTATAAAAAAAACAACGATTGAATTGTTCAATGTTTACCATTCCTTGATATTTAAAACACTGAGTATACGTCTTTAGCTAAGATAGTCTGTCCCTGGTTCTAGTCTTAGTTGTTTTTGGTGTTCTGCTTGCGATAGTCCTAGTTGTTGTTGGTCTTATTCTGGTGATAGTCGTAGGTGCTGGAGGTCTTCTTCTTGTAGTACTCATAGTTGTTGTAACCTTGTTGGATGCCATGATTGATTTGATCCATTTTACATAGTAACTGATTCGAGTGTAAACTCCTGGATACTCAGGCAATGCACATCCATTTCCATAGGATGTGATACCATGAAGTTGCCAAATATTATTAACAAATGCCATTAATGGTCCACCACTATCACCTAGACAAGTATCTGTGGACAGAAAAAATAATTGATGTAAGTAAATAAGTTTATTATTAATGTATTACCTTTGCCACCCGTTATTATTCCAGCACAAAATTGCAGTTTACTATCAAAAATAAGAGGTTTACATCCACTGTATGTAAGTGGTACGGATTTTAATGTAACTTGACGAAGAGATGAAGAACTTTTATCTGACGAGATTGATGTAATACCCCAACCTATAGCAATCATATTAATATTGTCTGGTGGTTGAGAAACAGTACCAGAGGGTAAACAGATTGATTTGATATTTCCATGTCTCATATTGAATGGACTAGATAAGCGAAGAAGAGCCATATCATTTCGATTTGAATTAGGATCAAAACGAGGATGTCTGTAGAGTTTAGCGATTGAACGAACTTGAGATGAATTATTTGATGAAGGTTTTAAAGTTAAGGATCCAGCAAGAATAGTGACACTTTTTAAATCAGTTATGTATTCGAAACAATGAGCAGCAGTAATAATGAATGATGGTGAAAGAATGGTTCCTCCACAAAGATGTTCTCCAGAAGTACGAATGGAAACAGCCCATGACCAAGATTGTCGAACTGCAGTTTCACCACCAATAATACGTGATATAAGAGTTAATGAAGTTGAACATCCACATGAAGTATTTGTATTACATTGGTATATCGTTGCACTTCCTTGCTCGCAAATAAAAACAAGGAAGAAAAATATGATAAGACGCATCATTATGATATTATAGGTACGAATGATTTCTAATCTATAGACGTTTTTTCTTCATTTGTGACCTCTATATAGTTTTTACGGCGTAGATGAGTCATAATACACGTTTTAGTTTGTCAATCACTCAGAGAACGATTAAAATCACCTGAAATATTTTGTCCTCTACATTCACAATTGGATTATTTGTTATGTGAAAAACATTTCACGTTTTACTATTTTTTTTAACTTGATTTGTCTACATATTAATGCGAACTATCAGTTGAGAATAGATAATCATACCGACACAACTCATCCTATTTCAAGCTTTTTCTTCATATATAGCTTTACATGAAAAGAATGCTACAAAATCTATTCTGGCACTGTTAACATGTTTACTAAAAAATATTAGATAATAATAAAATGGTATTGAATGCACGATGGTAGGAACAAATGACTTTCATCTAAATGAATTTGTTTTTATTTTGAAGAAAAAATAAAAGAAAATAGTCATAATATTTATCTTCAAAGTCTAATTTGATATTAAGATAACTAAATCAGACTACTATGCTCGATTGAAGCAGCATTTGACATCATGTTGTCTATATATATGAATCGTGTTTTTTTGAATTGTATCATGATTGAGAGAACAATAACTTTATAATAAAGTTTATTGAAAAGCAAAAGCATTATTGATAAATCTCTTGTTATATGTTTAATGATGAAGATCAAAATAGAATGAAAACAGTGCTTACTTTTACGATTAATAAAGAAAAATATCGAAAAGAAACAAAAAATGATGTATGACAAAACATCCACCTACTCGATATTAGCAATAGAAAGAAAGGAACCACGTGATCGAAAGGATTGTTTATATTTTTAAAAAACAAAACGAATCAAACTTTCAATAATTATGCTAATGCATTGATAACAGATTTTCATATTTAATTTTACTCTTGCTCCATAGAATCAGTAACTTATGATTAGTCACTAGAAGGAAATTAAGTCGATATTGATAAATGAAAAAAAAATTATAAGTCAGAATACTAACGAATTTTGTTGTTTTTTTCGGTTCAACAGATGCTATAAATTATATGAAACATCATTCCGACAAAAGGTTTATGAAATGGTAATTGTAATAATTGACAGAGAATGTGATATTTTTTAATCAAGAATTTCATTTATTGTGTATTAAGAATGGTTCATATCTTGAATGTGAACTTAATACTCAAACTTCTAATGAATCTTTTCTTAATCATATCTTGTCTAACATTTGACCTTGAGCTCTCCCATACTTAAACTCTTGTCTGATCATGAACAACGGATGAATGTTCGATTAATTTATCTCATTTTTTATTTTCTTCTTTCGTTTGATCCTCTCTCATTTTGTTCAACTGTACTACTGTCCAACAGGAAACTCTTCATGCGGCTTTTTGCTATACTTCAAATGTTTCAAATGGTGCAGCTAATTAGTCCAATCATTGTTTTGTTCTACCACGGATGAATAGACTGTACTCGATCGTCTATTTTTTTACAGGAGACTGTTTGAGATGGTTCGTATAGGTGGGCTGAATACGTTGAGTTTAGCTCATCAGTGCACTTTTTATCGATCTATTGGAAGTGATATGCGTCTAGCAACTCATAAAACGACGGGTATGCGTTTAGCTTTGATTTCCGTGTCAATTATTTTATCATTCTACATTTTCTTTCTACCCTGGTGATTGAAACTATGTTATGCATGGCTTTGTACTGTTTTTTATGTAGTTGCTCTGTCATGTCAACTATATAAAATGTAATTAATATTTTTTTGTCTTTTCGCTGAGTAACCATGAGATTTAGTGTAATAAAGTCTATAATGAAAAGAAGTAACTAATAGAGACCGACTTGGAGCGAGGTTTACTACAGTAGTTAGAATTGAATTCCGTTTATCTTTCTTTGCTTAAAACCCCTTTGACTTTGGGTTCGGTTCGTTTTCGATCTCTAGTGTAAAACAATTGATCGAACGTTCGTTTAATAGGTAATTCACAGCATCACAGTTCTACTGAAAACGTTGTAGTTCAATCAATCATTTTCTTATGCATCTGCCTACATTCACTTGTTTTTCGAAACTGAGTTGAAGCTCGATTTAGTTCGACATTATTCTTCACAAATCAATTCGGTTCGTTTTAAATCTTTGATAATTAATACGAAAATACGAAGGTTGTGTACATCCAATTGACATTAATAATATGTGGAAAAGTTTTCGGCAGTTTTCTATCAATATATCTTTTCAGCCACCTAAGTAATTTTAGAAAATTAATAGTCATTTTAAAAAGTATTTTAAAGTACGCTTATTATGCAAAAAGAAAGGTTCTAGCTTAAGCAATAAGAGAGACATAAATGTGACAATATCATTAAACATTTGTCAGAAAAGTTTTTTTTTATACATATCCAAATACAAAACCAAATAATAGCAGTAGAAAGTCTAAATATAGGTGTACTCTCTGTGACGAACTTGACAACAGAAGTACCTGTAAGATAGTGATATACGTTGTATTTGACTTCTGCACACAATAAATCGTCTCGTTCACACACAGAACATGTTTTCATTATTCAACAGTAAACAATTATTATTTTGAGAACTAAAAACGCATATAACAAACTTCCTTTATTCACTCTCTCTTATTTTTTGAGTTAGAAGCTTTATAATTTTACATAATAAGTACACTTGTTAATTCCTTTTTAAATGGCTATTTATTTGTTGAAATTGTTCCAGCAGTTGCAAATATATATCGAAAAAAAAATTACGTAGAATTTTTTTCTGTATCTTATTATTTGAAGGATACAAATCAGAGAGTTTCAATCGACTCGGTTATGTGCGGTTCGATGTAGCCGATGGAATGAAATTTTCATGAATGGAAAATATTGGATTGCTCAGAGCTGATTCAATAGTACGATGAGTGTTCATCGGCCGAATTTTGAATAATATATTAAATTTTCAAAACATGCCGCATAGTTTACCTCATTTTTTTTCAAATCTCACGTTATTCTTCGATTCGCTAAAACATTGCTGCAATGAACAGCAAATAAATAAAACAAAATAAAGAAGAAAATAAAATTTTCATTACCTTAAATAAACACTTTCTTAATATTCAATAGAATGTTTGTACTTGTTCTCATCGTACATCAACACTTACAACATTATTATCAGTTACTTTTTCTAGTTCTGATTCTGTTCCTACTGAATATTTTCAATTATTTATTTTTCTTAACATTTTTTCGTCCATTACTTATGCGCTGGTTTATTGTTACATACAAAACAGTATAAATATAAACGAAAAAAGTTCTTTTGAAACAACAATCGTCAACATATGATTTTATTACGAGTGAAACAATAAACAAATCTTTGTGTTAGAAAGTTTTTGGTTTTGTAACTAAGAAACCAGAAAATAATGATGAATTTCGGAGAATTGTAGCTGTTGGGTGCTTATAAAACTAAAAGGAAATTAGTTGAGGTCTAGGCGGCCTCCAAATGGGCGTTTCAAGGTTAAAATTGATCATAAGTTATTTTTTATTTCCTTAAATTCATGGTTCTCGATGTGTAAAAAAGTTCATTTTTTTTTTCGGTGAGAAAACGATAAAAAACAGTTTTGGGAGTAAAAATGTAGGTTTGTATCGATTTTGTTTGATTGAGTAGATGCTCTACAGGCTACGGTAGAGTAGAATGACGGTAGAGAAATGTAGAGATTTGCAAGGTATAATAAGATAAAAGTCAAATAAGTTTTTTTCATACGAATATAGGGTATAAAAAAGCTTATCCTACACATTTCTGTTGCAAAGATTACACTCACCAAAAATATGCGACAGCTGAAAAAATTATTAAAACAAAATATGAATGCTGGCAGCTATCAGCATTTTGCCTGTAGGATGATAAATCTATGGTAGAGTTTGAGTGTAAGAACAAATTTCAAAAAAGCTTTCTAAAGTCGGAAACTGAAGCAAGTGTTTGCTCGTGGACATCCGTAAAAGACTATGCTAAGCTGAGCATAAAAACTTCTGTTAGAAACAACTATCTGCGTAAGTTTGTGAACAGTTTCTGATGAAGGCAATGAACTTCTCCGCATTCTCAAAAGCAATCGAGAGTTTTGCTTATGTTTTTCGGTTTTTTTAAATATATTTTCAAGTCTTTTAACAACTCTATTTAGATTTGTCTATATATCAGTTTTGCATAATACATATTTCTTCTTCTTGATAAAAAAACGTGCAGATGTAAAGTTGAAATCATTTAATTATTCTGTGGTATTTACTAATAATGAAATATTGAATGCAAATCATTTCATCATACATGTTTATCATCTGTTAGTTAAGAGATTTTTTCAACAGAAAGCAGATCCTTCTTAGATTGATGTGTTTAGCTGTGAGCTGTTTCTTGTTGTTTTTATTGTGACGCAGAGACAAATTTTGAAACTACATTTCGAATAAATATGATTAAAAAAAGTATTTTTGTTGCTTCACTAACATAAAATATACTATTTATGTCACATTGTAATTCTGTATTGTTCAGAAAATGATATTACAACTAAAAGCTTTAAAGAAGAACTGACAAAAGCAATGAACACACACAAGTTATGATTGGCAGAACAACTATAGAAAACAATGGTTCAATTGTT